CTATTACTTATTATCGTATCGTAGCACACTGAAGAATTGCAATCTATGGACGTGTTCTCGATTCATAGAAGAATGAGAAGAAATTATTCCAAAAGCATCAAATAAAATTGGCCATTGAATGAAGAGCGTGAGTGCATTATAACATTACGTTACTTAGGCAAATTGATATATACAAAGTAAAAACCGACGTAGATTAAAGTCTAAATTATATTAATTTTTATGTAAGATTAACTATGTACAATATTGCTTTCAATTCAATTAATTGCGTATGATAGTCTTATTTGCATATAACGACAACGTTAATTTAAAAATACTATTTCAAATTGCTTAAGGCTACGTCGCTAAAGTTAAAAATTGTGTTCACTTCACTCACTTATTTTTGACTACGTGCACGGTTGCTTCCCATTAACTTAAATGTATGGTTTCATTTTGTATCTCATATTTCAACGACGAAAAAATTCAAAACAAGCTTCAAATTTCACTGTTTTATTTATTCATGAGTTATGGATCTTTGTGCTCAAGGCCATTATTTTCGTATTAATTAATTTGTCATTCATCATTTTGTTTGAAAATAAAAGATCATTATCATATTATATCGATTAATCGAGAGCGTCGGTGGCTCAGGGGTTTAAGCACTTAACTTGCAATCTGCAGGTCCTGAGTTCGAATTCCGCCATGTATCAATATGTTTTTCGATTTACATATGTTTATTTATCCGACGTTCTTACGGTGAAGGAAAACATCGTGATGCAACCTGCACATATCAGAGAAGAAATTCAAAGATATGTGTGAAGTCAACCAACCCGCACTGGGCCAGCGAGGTTGACTATGGCCTACTCACCCTTAATTTAGGGTAGGCTCCGAGCCCCTCGGTGGGGACGTATAGTGAGTTGATGATGATGATATCTTTTTTGTAATGATGATGATATCTAGCCTCCGAGCTCCTCAGTACATATGATGATGAATCGAGAAAAAAGGTTTGAATTATTTGTTTCCTTAACCCAGTAAAAAAAAATTGACAATAAATCTACGAATTCTGAACGAAGTCGAGAGTTAAGCTAATTAAATAATAGTTTGAAGCGATGCGTTGTTTCATAAATATAGTGAAACTCCGAGCTGCATAGTCACAATGCATCTACTCTTTCCAGTAACAAAGAAAAAGTTTTTAATTGGAATGTATGTCGGATACGAGAGGGCGCACTTAACTTTGTCCCAATATCATAGCATGGGATGCAGAGCCAGTCTCCCGGGATGTGTACTCATATGAACGATATTTCTTAACTGAATATTTCTATTTTCCTAGTACTTTTGTACCGAAACAGTAATTACAAACATTAACTGCTTTTTTCTTACTGGTACTAAAGAATTGGATTCGTTGGCGATTTTTAAATTAAAATATTTGAAAGTTATTATAATCGATTTTTTACGGTCATGAAGGATTATGATTTGATTATTCGTGTTTATTTTCAACTTTATAACAACATTTTAAATATAAATTTTGTTTATTTTTAAGCAACTTGTACAAAGAGATTTATGTATAATATAGAATAAGAAATTTATGAAAAGAAAATGTTGTTCTGCAATCTTTAGATCGTTTTTAAAGTAATAAGGGAATAGATTGGATTAAACAATTAAATTTGAACTTTACGGACAATGTAAACACCTTTCAAAATACGCAAGAGTAAGGCTTGCAATCCACTGTAATACAATATTATATTGTGATAATAAATAATCAAGTCTAGAATATGTAAAATATTAAACACATAACAGCGTTGGAAAAGGATAGACACTCCTTGTGCCGGCAGATGGCATACATTATGCAGGCACGCTCTCAACCAAATTAAATTTTCCTGTCAACTTGATGACAGAACTTTTTATTAATAATTCCATTTCATAATGTCGAAGTTGAACTCGCACTTCAGTAATGGTGTTGTTAAATATAAACGAATACTATACGTATTATATGTATATGTACATTTTATTTGCTTTTAAATATCTTTAAAATACAATTTTGTATATTTCGGTTACAGTCGAAATAGTGTTAAATGTAATACCTGGCGACCTCCTCAGTAAGCTAACTTACCCTAGGCGTCCCTAAAATGTGGACATTTAGATCTACCTAACTCGTGGGAATCACTATAGAAAAATCAACAGACAAAAATGTAAGAGCGAGACAGGAAGAGATACCATCACGCGTTCCTGAGAAAAAGGGTCTTAACAGACAGACAGACAGGCGGAGAACAAAATGATCCTTTAAGGGTTCCGTTTCAGATACGGAACCCTAAAACTGATATAATTGTTAATAGAAATAACCCTGACTATAATTATTATAATTTCACCCTTTGCGTGATATTATATTTAATCATGACTCACGCAGTGGATAAATTATAAACATATATTTATAATATTCAAATCATGAGCGTAAGGTAAACGAGTACAATATTTATTTGAGCTAAAAGAAATGCAAACAACGTCGGAGTTGCGCGCCGTCACGTGAGCGCAGTAAACGTAACTCACGCGTTAACTATTCACGCGCCCCTGTTTTACAAATGGCCGACTAAACACAAATTTATAAACTTCAATCTATGTAAGACAGCCTATCGCTACGGATAAATAAATTGTTTTTTTTTAATCGTACTAAATAAATAGTAAATAGCGAGATAGCTGTGCGCCTAGTAATGGCTAATGTAACATCATCGTCAATTATGTCAAAATTAGTATGAGATTTTTGGTGTACTTTTCGCTCAATAGGGGCGCTGCACAAATTTTGTTCGTGACGATACGATGGCTATTGTCATAAATATTCGTGATAGTCCCACTGACGTATAATTCATAAATAGTAAAAAAAATGTACATTTATCAATATAATATTTACAATTAAAAAATGAAAAAACAGTTATAAATTCATATAAAGAATATCTTAATAATGTTATAAATACGAATGTTTAGATGGATGGAAGTTTGTTTGTAGGTATCACCAGACTGCATGGATCTCGATGAAATTTGACATGGATGTAGAACATAGTGTGGAAGAACACATTTCACAAAGAACACAAGAATTCCGCGCGGACGGTTTCGGGACTACAGGTAGTGATAATATAATTTCTTTAGGACAGTACGTAAACTGTACGTTAGTCGTTAACTTAAAATTTAAGCCGCACTTTAATAAAAATCCTCCGCGAATCCTCGTTATTTCAATTAAGATTTAGATAGAACACGTTTTGTATTAAACTTAATTTACATTGGCAAATTAATAAAAAAAAAAAAAGATTATTTTGTTTCGAAAGAAAAGTGTAAATGTACTAAATTCACTAGTACTCTGTATAAATTGTGGAATTTAATTATTAAAAGTGATAACTAGATAATGTTTGATATTAACTATTTCACTGTCCAAGTAATTATAAAAGATCTTTTAAATATAACATCTGTTTGTCTTTTAATTCTTATCAACTCTATCCTTGCGATGAAGCTTTATATGTTTATTATTACCGTAACTTTATCTAATCGTTAACTATATTGTACTAACTTGCTATGACGTCATTCTCAGTTGAATATTTGAAAGCTTATGAATTATTAAAAGACAAGATTTGCATACATTTCGTAAAAAGCAGCTATTCAAGGCATAAATTCGAAAAAAAAACAATTAAAAAAAACGAATAAATAGTATCCTATGTCCGTCTCCTGGCTCTAAGCTACCTCCTCACCAATTTTCCACCATATCGGTAAAGCCGTTATTGAGTTATAAATAGTGTAACTAACACGACTTTCTTTTATATTTTATATAGATAACTGTCACTCTTTTCCACGTGATACAGAATTGCTCAGATATAACGATGTTCGTAACTTGTTGCCGTTTGTTCGTACTAGAAACAACAAACATTATTAAAAGTGTTGCAGTGTTCAATTGTTGTTGTAACTAGAAAAACAAATATTTTTAAAGTACGTACTTATACGATTTCAATGAAATGATAATTTATGATAGAGAATTCTAAAAGTCGCGAATATCTTTACATTCAGATTTAATTGAACAGTTAAACTGCATAGTAGCCAGTTGCAACCGTACCTTCTTCTTTTTGAACTCGGCTAGTAACTTGTTGTGGTAAAAAGATCTGCCTGGTTAGGCTACGTGATCGTTGTGTTTTCAATTAACTTGTTTCCACAAGTTTTTTCTTATGCGGATAGAGAATATTGGCAGCCGATTGGCGGCCAAATCCCGACAACTCTCTTGATTACTTTCCAAAAGTTGCGAAACTGAACACAACTGAACTGCTTTAGCGCTCACTGAAATATATTTTGAAATGTACTTATATGTTGTACAAATACATTATCCTTCACTGTAATAAATATTATCTTAAAATATTAAATCGCAAAGGTCACAATATAAAAAAATAATTTAGTAAATCCCTACGATTGGATATAGACCCTAACAAAAACAAAATGTAATCTTTTTTAAAAAAAATAGTGATATTATTTTTCTACAGGCGTTTACAAAAATAATTTCGACGTAATATTTCTTCAACTTTCAATTAAAACACGATACGTAATCTGTTCATATTCAGTATAAACGCAAAGTTATACGAGGAATTGACGTTTTTCCCGTGATACTTGTGCCAAATACTATCCCACACATCTGGTGTACGTAATTTTGTTATAAGGAAAAACTTTGCTAATAAGAACGTTGTTGGGTTTCAACGTCCATTCTCTCCGTAGGAAACGAACAAGTAATTACAAATGTTTCTATTAAATTCGAAGTATATCAAGATATTCGCAACATTAAAAATGAAGGAACTTATTTATTATCAAAGTATTTACCGGACGCTTAAATGGAAGTCTCAACACAAGTTTATCAATGTAGTATTTATTGTTACACAAATAAATTTTAATTGATTGCTACAAGAAATGAAACAATGAATAAGGTGCAACAAGTAGTCAGTTTAGCTAATACAGATACAGCAGAAAGTCTGCACAAACTCTAGTTTTCTATAAGAAATAAGAATTGGTTATAGCATTTGTAATCATTTAATTTCTCATAAAAATCATTGTTATCTTATCAGGTTTTTGTAATCTTTATAATCACTAATGATTGAGTACTTAGAAAAATGATAACATTGAATCATAAACAGATCTTGGAATTTTGGATATGGAAAAATTGAGGTCGTAGTCCACATTAACACAGTCTTGATGATCTACCGCAAATCGTGGTGAGGTAAGTGATGATGTGGTGGTGGGGGATGAGGATGATGTGGTGGTGGGGGATGATGTGGATGATGCGGTGGGGGAGGATGATGCGGTGGGGGAGGATGATGTGGGTGATGTGGGGGAGGATGATGTGGGTGATGAGGTGGGGGCTGATGGGGATAGTGCGGTGGATAGTGGGTCGGCGGGTATTGCGGCGGCGTCGGATACACTGTGATCTTGTTCCTGTGGTAACAATGCGGTGCACAGTTCCCAGTACCGCAGTATGGCCCGCAAGGTAGTGCGTGGGGCGGCGGCATTTCTGTAAGAAGAAAACCAAGAAAAGTTACAAAAAAAGCTTACGTTCACTAAACTACTATAAACATTTAAAAACTGTATTTGATTTATTGTATATTTTACTAAAGCAGAAGTTATTTCATCAGTGTTGTACTAGAATTTAAAATTAATATCCATTTAATCGTTTTATCGAATAATAATTATGAGTAATTGTTTTCAGTTTAATTATTTAGCAAACATATTTAAATTATTCATAAATTTAATGGTAAATAAATAATTAAATACCAGTTTAATGTATTTTCAATGTCATTATTATAAAAATGAAACACATTAAAATGACATTCTTTGTTATCGTGTTATCGGGAATTTCGTATTATTTTTCTATTGTTATCTCAAATAATAACAGCGTGATTAATGCGTGGTTATTTTTATTACAAAGACAATATTAAGACTAATAAATTGTCAAGAAAGAAGATAAATTAACGACTGGATATTCCCCTTCAAGATATCTCTAGAGATTTAGTCATTAGCTATTTATCTTAGAAATGTGGAAATAAATTTTATTGAACATCCCATAGACCCTATATTCAGGTAAAGAATAATTCTTATATAATCATATAACTTTAACTTATAGTTATTATCATACTATTTAATTCACCTGCGCACCTAACTTAAAACACACACACACACACTTTCTCACATACTCACACGCATATACACACACATGCTATCCTTTGATATTATTTGCAGTTCAAAATTACTTAGTTTAATGTCTTCATGTATTTTCTTATTTTCCAAATTGTATCTCATAATATCACGCTTAGTTTAACATGATATGTACGTACTGTTTTTTTTTTGTTTATGGCTAGTGCACTCCTAGGCCCCGAGATACAGGCTCAGCCTAGTTCGGGGTCTGCAACATACTTTACTGTATATTATTCTAACGTGTTTTTGTGAAATAAATTTATTCTTATTCTTATTTACTATAATTAAAAAGAAGAATTGATGTATTTTACTTACCTAATATTATATAAAGCACAGACAAGTCAATTAAATGTATATTCGTTGTTTATCAGTTTGAAACTGTTTCCATTAGCACAACGCAAGTTGATTTTATTGATCCACATTCGATAATCACAATGACTGTTACGTTATCATTTAGTTCTGCGAATACGATAAGATAATACTTATCTTTAAACGTGAGTAATAGAAATGAAAACAAACACATGCTATACATAATACTATGTCCGTTTAGAATTTACAAAAAACACCATTGTGATGAAAAAATTTCGTAATGCACTCGGTGTTCACGTATTAAAAAAAATATTAAAATAAAATAAAAATATTGATAAATAATTTTTAATTAAAGATTTTAATGGCTTTACGTTGATCTTACTAATATTAGAAATGCGAATGTTTGGATGGATGGAGGAATGGATGGATGGATGTTTGTATGAAGGTATCTTGAGAAGGACTGTTTGGATTCCGCGGAATAACACATAGGCTACTTATTAAGTTTTTTATTACGTGCAAACGGATTCGGACTACAGCTAGTATGAAATAAAATAAACACATTGTTTAACAAATGATAAAAGTGGTTATAGTTTCGAATTTTCTCAGACGGATAATGTAATTTATTAGTGCTGTTTGTTTATTCGCAGTCTACTTAAGTCTGTTGTTTGTGTCGTTTCCAGTTTTATTTTTAAGCGAATTACAGAATAACTTCGGAGTAGAGTAGTGGATTAAATTTACATATATCTCTAATAGATTGAATTATATTTTTGTGTTATTCAAGAACTATGTATACATCATTGGCACACACAACAAAGAAACCAATTCATACAAAGTAACATAGATAAAGAGGTGCAAAGGTGTATAAAATTTATTTGATTTATTCACCAACTCTAAAAAATATATGTAAATGTTTTGTTAAATATAAAGCCAGTTCTTTCTGCAACTCTATTTTAAATCGCGATTGTAAACAAGAGCTAATGTTGTATACGTTCCGGATTCTCTCGGCTTACATTATGACTTAGCGTACCAAGTGTGTTTATTTGACTCTCGCTTTTATATAGAACTTACTTAAACCCCGCTTATGTTTATATGCTTTTTACAATGTGACGTTTCGTTTAACGCTTATATATAGATAAGCGTTAAAAATAATGATTTCAGGTGGCCGCTCGCTCATTTGCCACTTTATGATATAAAAAAAAGAAAATACAGACGAATTGTTAATCTTCTTCTTTTTGAAGTCGGCTAGAATTTAGGTATAATGTGTCACAATTATATAGAGAACGTTTCAAAGTTTTTAATTAACAAAGTATTTTATATCCAATATTTAAATTATATGTCATTATTAAATTAATAAATCTTTCTACTATAAAACTTTTTATCTTTGAAGCCATTTAATATTTTAAAATTAAATCAATTTAGGTTACTTTTAAAAATTGTTTGTAAAACAAACAGAATTGCTTAAAGTAAGTGCATGAATAGTTCAAGTGCTTTGCAAACTGAAACATCCACAAAGTGCACCTGTACATAGACTGTCGCGACTTTCATAAACGCGACTGTTGGAAAGTCCACAAGTCAAGTCAAAACTAACAAACTTTCTGTGCAATTATGTACAGTTCAAAATATTACGAATATGTGAAAATTGTTCTTCAATATCCTTTGTTAATAAGGTTCTCTTTTCGACAGTCTTAATTCTCAACTTTTAACTCATACACATTCTAATAAAATTTACAGTCAGCTGCATAAATAAGAATAAAGTTACACAACTTAGAAACTTGTATAGGGTTTCTGTTTCAAAAATACTTAAGCATGAATTCGTCAATAACATGTAATCATAATTTGAAGCATACGAAAGGATGCGTGTATACATATTTTTGAAACTGAATAATAAATAACAAAATAATAAGCCTATACTCTTTTTTGTAGATTTCAGAATGTATACATATTTACGTAGCTGACTGTACAGTATTCAAAGAAATCTCAGCAATTAAAATAGTACTAATAGATACTTGTGGATCATTAAAAAGTCCGTCATTGTCTTACACAAGATAAAGCTGTATATCACAGCTTTACTGGAATGGTTAAAGAACAAGAAAGTCAAAGACTAAATGGCGTGTATGTAAATTCATACTAATAAAATTCGCCGCAATATACTTTAAATGCTAAAAGCGTTGCAGTTGTGAGCCGGCAGGTGTCGCCACTTTTACCCGTCCATCGGGTCAAAGCTTTGTTTCAGTAGAAACACTAAATTAAGTTTTATTTTTGTCTCGTTAAAATGCAGTAAGTACAAATTAAATTTATCATGTCTTTTATTCTTTGAGTTTTCCTGATAACCTTTTAGATGTCAAAAACCAATCAAATTATTTTTTAAGGTGATTCTTGTATTTCTTATTCAACCAAAATCCTTGTTATAACAAATGTATTTAATAAAAGTAAACGCAAAATTTCTTTCCAATTTGTTATTGCTGTTGAAAAATAATTAAATAAGTATTTTAAGGTTTTGCGATTGCAATAAAAAATCAGGGTTTGATGAGATTGAAAAACATTTCAATATAACCTACATCGGAGGGATTCATTCGCGGCACTCATTCAACCGCAACATTTCCATTCACCACTCACTCGTGAATGATTAACTTTCAAGATTAACTCATTGAATGTAAGTAAAAAATGGCTTTAAAATATGCATTTCATAACTTTCGTTCTTAATTAAATTACATCATAGAAAATTAATCAGTTAATTAAAATTAATGAAAGTAAATATTTATCAGTTTGTATGTTTTCCTATGTGTTCTTAAACCTATGGACGATGGAGTAGATTAGTAAAAAAAATGTTTTTCACATTTCATAAATACTTTTGTTGCACTATAATATTAAGAAAGGATTTATCTTTCTATTTGTGAAACTCTATACCGTCAAAGATGTCTGAGTGCTAACTATTTCGGTAATGTCTACTCCAATGTTAGACGTCGCTATTTCTAGTTTCGACGGCATCACCTACCAGGCGTGTTAGTTTCCTAGACAGGCAGGATTTAAGTTTTGACAGGGCTATTCTGTGCAACGTTAAATAATAAATGTATCCTTTAAGAAGACTCTATGCAATGAAATTGTATGTATGGGTTTTCTATTACGTACTTGAGTATATAGATATCGTTATCCCTTTCATACTATAAGAAAAAAATGAGGCAACAATATGTTTATATAGTTTTGCATAAGAAGATTCACGTTAAATGAGAAATAATATTGATCCTGAGTGAAAAAAACGTTTTGTAGAATCGCTGTATTTTCATTAATAATATTTTTTCCACTAATTTAAATCATAAAAACTTATAACAATAAAACAAATTAGGCCTAAGTAAAAGATAATAGAGTCTAAATAAAAATAGCTACCTGAATAAAAAGACAATTGAGTCATTACTTAAAATAATAAATCACGAGTCCGTCAAGTCAAACGGTATGAAACTTGTTAATTAATAAAGTTGTAAAGTGCGAAGCCGTGTCATTGTGACGTCACACCAATTAAAGGCTCTGCCGTTGTCCTAAAGCGGTGCAGTGTTTTTAAATGAAAGTGTACGGGTTTTAACTCTTTATTATGAAAATATTGACAAACATAATATCTTTTTAGCCTGCACCAAATTTGTATTCATTTACAAGTAATTAATTATTAATTTTATTGCTTTTAAATTTGTAATTTGATTTACTATGCTATTTATATACGATTTCATTAAAAAAAATTGTTTCGTGCTCTTACCGTAGGCATATATTAACCCTTATTGTGGCAAGATTTTTTTTTTTGAAGAAAAGCAAAAAATACGCATAAGCAAAAATAAGTTTAATAAAACTAAGTTAAAAATTATTTTATAGTGATCGTATATTTTTATACAGTTGTATGTATGGTATATTATACAAAATTAACATAAGGGTTAAATAACTTCCATAATACTATTTTGTGGAATATGCGGTTGACATAAACGTGAAATTTTCACACATAACACGTGTGAAATGTTAAACTATATAACAAATCAACGTACTACAAACAAATCGATTTCACATCGATCTAATTTGAAGCCGCCATTATGTCCGTGTGATGGATTTTCAATTCGCTGACCGCTAGCGGCCGCACGACATTAATCCAAACAAACTTCCGTACAACATTAATCGAAATGTAAATACGAATCTAATCAATTCTGATAAACAATTTGATCGCGCGTGCTCGGATAACATTCAAATTGCGGGATAGATGATACAAGCTATTGCTGAGTATCACGCAGATACACATTAAAAAAGGGTCTTTACAGACAGACAGACGGACAACAAAGTGATCCTATAAAGGTTCGATCTTCAACCTTTCGAGGTACTGAAACCTAAAAATTATACTTGTTAATGATGTTTAAACTTTAAACCTTTGCTGTTGTTATATTTGTTACTTTATATTATGTTAATTAATTTACATTTATAACCGTGATCTTAATTATCATCTGGGTAAATATAATTTCTTTGTTTTTAAATTCGGAAATCCGTTAAAAGAACTGGCAGTCTGTTTTGTATCAATTTATATTTTATTGTTTGTAAGATATAATTGGTAAACTGTGCAGTTTTTGTTTAGCCGACAGATTTACAATTTTTATTGGTTCGACCTACCGATCTCCGGATGGACTAATTGGGAGAATGTTGAAATACTGGCTGCATTTTTATACATTTTGAATTGTTTTATTAACTCCACAAACGCAATTTTTATTTAACATATCCATATACATATACCAGATATCAATTATTAAAAAAACAATTGTACTTAATAGATAAAACTCACATTAAAAGTAAAATCTTACTTATCTTGCTTCTTACTAATATTATAAATATGAATGTTTGTATAGATGGATGTTTGTTTGAAAGTATCACCAATATGGCTGCATGAATCTGTTTTATATTTGGTACAGATGTAGTATATAGCATGGAAGAACACATAAGCTACGACTAATTAACTTTTTTTCATCCCGCGCGAACGGAGTCGCAGGCGACAGCTAGTAACAATAAAAAAATCCGTTACTAAGTTCCTTTCTTTCCAATACATTTTAGTATACTTCGACGAGTCTTTTCTCTATAACATTC